ATTTAACATAAGTAGATATGTGACGGTCATTAAAAAGTTATTAGACTATTATATAGCACTTTTATAATTGCAGATTAACTAAACCATGTAACTTAAATAGTTAGATATCTAATAGTTACGTGTAACAATTATCAGTTTCATTGTTTGTATTATGTACATATATATAACTTTTACTTACTATACCATAACAAGTTATTGTATTCCACTGCAGGACGCGGGTCTCTCCCTATACGAACCGGATATCAGCTATTGTTGGTATAGGGATTTCTTTTGAGTTTTTCTCATCTTGCCACAATCACATAGTATCGGTGTATTTTCCTCCTTTCAGTACTTGCTAATCTGGAGATAAAAAGCGTTTTTTAATTTCTTCTATAATGTAGGATATCTTTTACAAATTCAAAGTTATACCAGTCCTAAAACTAACTACTACTACATTACGTCACTAGTGAGCAAATTGTCTTAGCCGCACTATTTGAAATAAAAAGGGTTGAAATACCCTTTTTAATGGATCTTCTTCTTCACTAAATTTTATTACTACATTATATTACATATGTACTGATGATATGAGACAACCGTATCACACTACGTATCACGTTCTCATACGTTGCGTTTCCGGAAGCAATTTAGTACAATGTCTACCTTGCTAACATATAAGTACATGGTAAAAGACGTTTCGTTAAAATTCTACACTTTTTTTAAAGGATTAAAAAAAACAGCATATCGCTCTTATAGGAAGACAATAGAGTGAGATCACTGATTTTCCGAGGTTTCACGTTTTCACATTGATATGAACTTAAAAATGCTTTTAACATCTTAATGCTTATGTGTTAAAGTTTAATTTCCCTTTATTCATTTGGTTTGTGGTTATTTTGTGGTCAAATTAAATTATTAGCGTGCATTTTTTTCTAATTGATGATGCTAACCGCATATGTGGTTTATTCATTATATAAGTATGCATCATACACACAATATTTATATAATCGTAAATCAATAAAATATTTCTTCAGGAAGTTTATAAATAATATGTTATTTTGTAAGATTCTAACTATTACTAACTAAAATGATAAAAAAAATATTTCTATGTATGGTCTCGGATATCTAGCGAATTAACATCTCGCATTATATCCGTATAGTCGTGGGTTCTATTCCTCGCGCGGTACAAACATTGTATTAATGAGTTTGATTGGTGATCGTATTTACAAAAAAAATGTAATTAAGTATTTCTGACAGTTATTTATTTAGTATCTATGTAATATTAACTTATCTGTGCCATAATACAAGCTCTTCTTAACTTGGATGGCACTGTAAGAGCTGTTCTGTTCTTCGTTTCTCTATCTACATCTTGGACTTGTACTGACCTTATGGATTGCAATTATTAACTATAAAACTGTCAACAAGATTACTCTTATCTTCTCGTCTTTCAATCTTTATCTCATGATTATCACGAACTAAATCTTTTAGTATTTTACGATATTGGTATAAGGTATAATCTGAGTCAACCGAATTATTCAGTGAGTAACATTTGTTTAATGTGTGATCCAAATGATTATACACGCATACGAATATTACTAAGGTATTGAAATATAGTATAATATTATAATTTTTACTTTATTTATATAAAACTTTAGTTATCATTTCCAATCTATTAAACTGAAAAACTTATATCAAAATATTAAAAATGCCAACACGGCTATTAAGAAATAGAACAGTGGTTAATAATTCATATGATATAGCTATATTGAATCATAATTATAATATTATAAGTGCTAACTAGGTTATATTTTATTATACCTTCATTATCTGTACCCATAGAGATTCAAATCCCTATATAGAAATGAATATTTATTACATATCTTTACAATATGATTTTTTTTATTAAGCGTTAATGGCATTAAATTTAACATTTAACCACAACTATACATCGAAGTTTATCTTCGGGTAAAACCCTTTCTATTATCTAAACGACAATAATATAATTGTTTCCCATTTATATTTAATCGCTAATTAATAATTATACAGGTAGGTAATATATTTACTCGGAAATGCACAAGTTCCTATTAAATTAAAGTTTCCTTTAACGTCAGTATTGTATGGGATTAATGATAAAATTTATATAATTAGATTTAATTGGTTAGCTATTTCAGAGGTTGCGTGGAACCCGTTATCTTCTATACCTATCTTAACAAAAACCTAAAAACCGATATTTCTTTTATATTGGTAATACGGTGATAACAATTGTCTCTTATAAAAAATCGGTCTTGAATATTTATTATTTAGTTTTTTCTGTCTTGATACTTAAAACGGTAATAATTCGTTGTAAACTATTTAAGAGCACAGGAAAGTTTTATTCCTGTGTAGACAGAATATAACGAATTATTGCCGTTTTAAGTACTACGTGACGTTTAACATGTCTATAATTGATCAAGCATATTAGAAAACAAATTTGGATTTAGTAAAGTTTTTCCCTTTTCCTTATATATCCTAATAGTTGTATTATTTAGCGTCGCCTGCGTGAATTAAATTAAAAGTATTCTATGTGTTATTTTATAATGTAACAGTAGATATGTGTAATATATTGGTGCCGAATTTAATGCGAATCTGTTTTGTAGTTTTTGGATAAAGATTAGGAAATATAGAGTAAGAATTCTCACAAACATTCGATATTATTGTTATTTAAAGATGATTATACATATGTTATTTCTGTTTTCGAGTATTAGACAGGTACATATGAATCATATTTACACCATATACCAGAGATAAAGGTACTTTTCATCTTATATCAGGCGGGACAAAACCGCAACGATCACATACGTTATAAAAAAATCATAATATACCTAATCTAAACTATATATCGAATACAGGCGTGAGTTTTATTAATGACAATATTATTAGGCGAACTCACAGAAACGTGCGGTAGTCGGCGTAGCAATAGATAGGTAAGAAGATACTGCTTTGCTACAGCAAGTTACGAAAGCACTACGAACCTTTTTCAAATAACCCACGTATTTGCAAAAACTTCATATTTTTGTATATACGTGGGGTATATACAAAAATATTTACAATTTTGTTTGTAATATTTATTTCATAAGTATTGTTTCGACTTCTTAGTAGATATATTGAGATTTTAAGCGTAATAAGAATTATTAATTTGTAATGAATAGTTTTTTAATATCAAAATATTTTAGTAAAAGTTACCATAAATTCACATAAAAACTTGTTAAAATTATGGATCTAATTTAATAGTTTTATATTATTTGTGTGATCATATTACTTTACATGTTGTAATCGAAATTTAAAAACCGATTAAATTGCCGACTACTATTAAAATCCTTTTAGAATTAGTAAAGATATCTAAATGCGCTTTAAATTTTTAAATGAATCTTTCTCTTTTTTATCAAAGCTCAAACTTACAAACCATTTAGTAAATTCAGTATAACGATACTATTAAGTAGACAGTATTAATATTATGCACCTTGTAAATTACCGGAGAAGTATGACAAACCGGTTAACGCAAACTTGGATATTAATTCTTAATACCACTTGGGTGAATTAATTACACGTATTATTTCCAATAAGGTCTGTACGTATGTAATAAGTAAGGGGAGAAGGAAAATTACAAATGAATCAATTCGTGATTATATGTAATGAGTGATCCGGTTAAATTTTTCCAAAGAAACTATTTCCATTAACTTCCAAGTTTGTAAAGTTTCTGATTGGGTTTTCAAGTTTTAAACTTATTAGTCTCCATATATTATCACCGTTGATCATCAAGTCTAGAGCATTCTTTTATAGCTCAGTAGAAAAAATAATATTAATGAATACGTCATTAAACATTACTCTTTCTTACTCTGCCCCCGTATTATGGTTTTTATTCATTTGAGGATCAACACTCTAGTTTCTCGCTCATCCTTCTTGTGACAAGACAGCTTTTCAAATGTGAAAAGTGCTTAAATGTAAGTTTATATGTATAAAAAAAAATCTATCCTAGGACATTTAAGCTGGTATACAAATACATAAAAATTATAAAAGGTTGTGGTACACCGTAGTAAAATCTTGCGGAATTTTTATTGCTATTCATCCGAAATATTAAGCTAATACTGATAGGCAGCCTCCTGATTTATTGTCTCATATAATGGTCTATAAGAATAAATGAATGTGTAATAATAGTATCTATTTATTAAAAAAAATATTATCTGAATTGCTAATCTATTACAGATCAAGTTAGTCTCTAAGATCCAGTAAAATATCCTTTTAGGTACGTTATCTAATACGTGCGAATGTTTAGTGATAACACACGGGTTTTCCTTAACACTGCATTTTTTTGTTTCCGCTAATTAGTCTGATTACTAAAGAGATGGACGTTACTTTTGTAACGTTTATGTACTTGTTACTTAAAATGTTAGTCATCACAGATGCTGGATACACTGCTCGCATTGAATTAGCAAAACGGATGTTGGTCATGGGTTTTTCTACTCAGTTATAATTTTCACTACAATTGAATTCAAAATATACCTATGTACTCTTAAATAAAAATAGATTGGGGGCTAAAATATTTATTAAATATACGTAGAGAAAAAAAGTAGAAACATTTTTTTTTTTTATTTTTATGTAAAAAAAATACCTACAGTATAAAAAATATAGGTTTTTGTTAAATATTATCTAAAATTGGTATTCTGTATGTACAGAAAGTTGTTTTAATTAATTTAAAAAAAATCTATTTATTACATATCAGTAATAATTTCCGCTATTATTACAACCCCCACAGGGTTCAACAGCCTCACTCAATATAAGTAAATAAAAAATAAACTTATGTGATCCAAACGGGACCCTCGTATATAAGCTGGGTGGGACCGGGTACGCCTTCGATGTCGATAATTGGCCACAGAGGGCCGGGCTCACTCTCGATTCGTCATTCGCCCCTCTACCGTCTATGTGTTCAATATAGACTCTTTATCTTCGCGCGGTCACAGAAAAGCATTTAGTCTCTCACCTGACACCAAGCGTGTCACATTGTCGTTTGGGGGATGCCATTTGCGATCATTAGTTATAATGGATTACATTAACATCCCAGCGTGTGCTTTGAATAGGCAGATCAGTACTGTGATAGTTAGGTTCAAAATGGATGTGATTGATCAGAGTTGGCCGTCAGAAAGTTGTCCAGGGCTGGACTGTCCGAAGGTTTTGAAGTCGACAGTATGTGAGAATTGTTCTAGGACTAGACTGAATAGTAGATACAGTGACTGTGATAGTGATAAAGTGAGGAAGTGTCAATCGTATAAATCGAGAACTGCCAAAAGTAGTAAGCATCTTTCTATTTTATTTTTATTTAATGTTATCTATAAATATTTATATTTATTTTAAACTCACTACTAATAAATAAATATTTATTATAAGTTCCATTGATATATAAATATAGTTTATCTGAATACCGCTTATTAATAGATAATATTATTTATTATTTAAATATAATTTATTTTAGTATCTAGTACTTAATATATTTATTATGTACAGTTAATAAAACAAGTCTATTAGCTAAGTCAGGTAATGGGAGCCACTACACATTTTATTCCTACACGTGAACTTATGGGCATAAGCTTTAAGTCAATTTCAGGAATCTCTACTAATATTTCAAACTATATCTATCTGTCTGCCTATCTAAATGTTTGTTACCAATTAAACTACAAATAACATATTTTGCCATAATTTCATTATACTTATGTACCTTTTTTTATTTTTTTATACTAAATTAATGTGTACCAAGGAGTATCTCTACCTGTGTATTTTGATAATTTTAATATTCATTCGTATTAATTCATCATTAAGATGTGCATGTGGAGAGCTAATGTGTTATCTGGAGCGACACGTGCCCAATAGTGGGACATAAAATACATACGTGTGGCTGTACTCGTGTGTGTTTGTGTGTATATATATATATTAAGCTTAGATGATATACTGCCAACAGTATAAGAATGCCCTAAATGACAGAAGGGGAAAGAAATTTCACTGCGTGATAAAATTTAAACCAACTATGTATATCTGCAGAAAAAATAAGTACCCAATATATAGTGGATGTATTAAAGGATTCAATGATTATGAAGGATGAAGATGAGAAGTCAATAAAATAGAGATAGAAAACATCCCAAGTAGCTTCCTTACACAGGCTAACGCAGTAGGTACAGTACGACCTCCCGTGAGAGGTCGACTGTCTGATATAAAATATTGCAAGGAGTTGATGTCTGTTAATTGAATATAGTTTATATTAAAGAAAAGAGTCACTCTATATCTACAAGAAATACTCACTATATCTTTATTCCAAGTTTCTAACAAGGTAGGCAGAGAGAACCAAATATTAAGACCTCTATCGTTAGGAATAAGTACTACAAAATTGTACTTAAAAAGTACCTATACGGATGTCGTTACTAGATATATCAAGATATAGTTACCTTGTATACTTATGTTTCTGTTATTGCAGACCTAATGATAGTTTAAAACATGAATATATTTAACTGGTAGTGTTTTAGACAATAGTAATATTTTATTAATAGGGAATTACATCCCTGTTATTGTTATCTGATCTAAAAAGTTTATTTAAGTATAAACTATAATAAATATAAATTATTATAATATAAGATACAGTATCAAATTAGTAGACTAATAATAATTGCTATATTATGTAGTTATTATACAGTATAAATAAATTATCTATTCAATATAACACTACATTATTATTATTTTAAAATAAGTATAAAAAAGGAAAGAAATATGCGCTTTAAGCGATATCGTTGCTAATTTTATGCCTCTAGTTTCATGTTAATTTTCGTAGTTTTGGAACATCTTTTGAAACTTTGCGATAGATAGATACCTAATAGAAAGCAGGTAGTAACCGTCGCCTATATACCACGAACATCACACATTATATAACGTGATATCCGTCATGCGTAGCCATGCTAAAGATAATTTGATTCTATATCCTATAGTTTCATAAACCGAAACACAACTTGCTATGATTAAACAAATAGCAAACAAATTAATATCATAGCGTTTGAAGTTACCAAATTGTTACAAACAATTAACATTTTCACCGAAAAAACCATTCACGTAATAATCAGAAGTATTCTAATGTCTTATTGAAACGTAATGTACTGCTATAACATTATTAAAAATGTCTGATAACGTACAAAAACATAAATTTGTCTTTTAAGATAATTTTAACTACCTTTCACCCTACAATGTACATTGTGTAAAATATGAAGCCGACTGTACTCAGTAATCGAGCTTACATTTTCATTACGCACAAAAACCTAGCTCGGTCGCGCCTCTACAATGTTAAACACGAAGATCAGAGCTAGCTAACTAGAGTTAAACTGCAATTAAAGTAACGTACTGTTACCGGCATGACATATCTGACTAAATGTTTCTAGCCTTTAACAGTCATACAGTTACACACGTCCGCGGTGATATTTCGTAATTAGCGATATCGTCCCAGATAGGGTTGTCATCTGTGAAATATTGAATCTAATCTGGGATATTGAAAATGTAGCAGCAATTGTATTAATACATATATATATTCGGAATTATCTTAATAGCTTCGTTTCATGAAATATTTTTATTACTACATTTAGTGAGGGCTTCACACACATACCAAACATATTGTATGTTTACTAGAAGTACACTCAGCTTTTATTACTTGTAATCTATCTTTCAAGATTCCTTGCGAATAGTTAGAAAATTCTGAATGTCTAGGTATAATATTTAAGAAATCTCTAAGTAAAACTAAGAATTTCTAAATGAAGCAATTGTGCTTTGCTCTGTATGCTAGTAATATAGTTATAATTTTTATAAATATAAGTATTAAAAGGTATCATAAAGTAATATATATATATGTATATTAAAATCTTATAAACTTCTATGAATAGCAACATAGTACTTAGTTTCAATTTACGAAATGAAAATTCATATATAGTCAGTACATACCTATATTACATTATGCGCCTCATTTATCTTAATATATGCATTTGTCATTAATTTAAAAATTAAATAAAGTAAATAGTGTTTGTATTAACGACGTTACGTAAGTAATACATCTGCTTATTCTTCTTTCAAATAACAGTCTATATCTTTAAACTGTCTTTATCTTTTTTAAACCTGTACCAATACATTAATTAGTACCTACGTACATCGTTATGTCTATTTATTTATATTAGATACTCAACTGCGCATGTACTCTACTTTTTCTTATCTTGTCAACACGGATCTTATTTACGGATCTTTGATAAAGAGAAAATTAATTAAAAATTATTTACTTTAGCGAAACAAAAGGCTAGTGTATACAATTGGTTACTTAAAATAGAGGTAGCTAATATTTATTGTATTTTATGAATTCGTATTATCTGTAGGAATTACTTACAAACACAGTATTCTCTTTACCAGCAATATCCATTATAATATAGAATTTTATTTATATTAAAATACAATGCGAACATCATCTGAGTTTATTTTGATGCAAAATACACATTACTAATCCTTCGTATTAGACATTAATTAATTGTCTATTTTATTTGACCACATTACTATCAAAACAATTAAATATGAATTATGTTTATACGCATGCGCCGCAAAGCCTCGTAACGTAGGAATAATTAATTGATGTCATTCGCAGCTCATTTTCCCGGAAGTACGTTCGGTTCAACTTAATAATGTAGACATTTTTATATTTGCACGAAATATAATAGTTCCATTCAATGACATATCAACGACTACGTTTGCCAAATCTTTTATTTGGTTTCTTTTAAATCTCTAACAAGATATACCAAAAGACATTTATTATTATAAAAATTTAAATAATACAAATTTTAGTTAAGAATTCCAACTGACTATTTCAATAGAAATGGTAAATATGGTCTCCGGGAGTCCTTTCGATTAAATAAGTAAATATTATATTTATTTTTGTTTGTAATTGACAAAACTATTGCGTAATACACACATGTTGCTTTAGAAAAAAAAATGTTATAATTACTCCAGATAAAAAATAATACAGAAATAGACGACCTCCTTTTTTTAAAATCGGTTGAAAATATTAGACTTTGTGGGAAAGCAATGTTGTGGCGTCCCATTATATCAAAGTACAAGCACTCGGCTCGATTTCATGAACTATGTCCGCGTCATTAGGGCCGCGATCCACTCACTCATTAGCAACATTTTCACATAAAACGTTGTTCATTTACGCGGAGTAAACCTACCGCGTCAATTATAAACAGTTATTTCAGTGAGCCCGTCTCACTCATAATTGCAGTGTTTAGCTGTCACCCATTTAGTGAGAGATGTCGATCCGAGTTTATTTTTTTATATCACCTTCAAAGGAAACCATTAAAAACACGCCAAATTCAGTTCATACAGTTCGAAATTGCACGGCGTTAAATAACATCAGATTCCATTCAATTTCACTGCAAAGTAGGTAATTGAGATAACATCAGTTGTTACCTTATTAAATTTGATTCGAGAAAAATTCGCGCTTGTTTCGTTAATTTCGAAGGCACGATGCGACGCTATTACCATTTAGAGCGATTTTCAGTTAAACAGTGTATCACCTTGCGTAAAACGCGCCGCCACGCGCGTCTCCGCGTTAATCGCCCTTATTATGCGCAGTCAAATTTTACGAGCGCATCGGTTGATAGCCGCTACTAACAAAATGAACCGACTCAAATTAAACCTCTATTACTTACGGGCAAACATGATTTTTCTATACGGCGATGTCACACATGGATGTTGCCCTATTAGTGATTGAACTCATATTTCTTGGGATATACTACAAATAATCAGAACATGACGTCCGTAATTTACCAACGTATACACTACAAAGATAATGCAAGCGGTAAAATTTGACGCATTGATGAACAGAATTTACATAATGATTACGATGGCGCCTGGCGACCAACCCGAATGTCCGGTCGAACGGCGCACGGCTTTTCTCGGTTTTCGAACCGAAATTCTAGTTAGCGAACGCGCGATTTCTTTGTAAAAAGCTTAACAAGATCTCGTTTGGGTTGTTTTTCATGCCGCGATGCTTTTGTGAACAGCGAGCTGTTAAAAAATAAACGAACGCTTTGTTTCTCGGGTAGGCAGCCGACCTCCGACGCGGTCCCTACTTTTTTATGCACCCTTGTAACCTGTGTATTACCTACGTGTAGGTATCTACGTTTTTTATGGCAGCGCGGTCAGTTTTTCAATAGGTTATAGAATTCAATCGGGCCACTTTATTGTTGATCTTAATAAGTTACTATAAACTTTTTTATTGAAATAAAAAAAATATGATGCTTATGAAATATTTTTTAGTATAATGTTTTATCGGATTAACTTTTTTCCATATTCTTACTGAAAGTTACTTTTACTTACTGAATATTTTTCATTCAATCAAATTATCTATGTAAAATAGAATATGTGTTTTCATAGATTTTCATTGCAATGCTTATCTATGTCCCCTTATCTGAATTGTGTGGTTCCCAAACGTATCTGTAGAGTCCAGTTTCTCAAGGAAATATTTGTCTCAGAATGACTCTACGTCTTTTACGATCTGACCTGTTATTTTTTTTTCGTTGAACTTTTGATGGCGGTCCCGCGGTTGCTTTTGACCGACGCACTAATAAAATGTTATGATCGTGTGTTTAACGCGAGTCGGGCCTTCCTTTGGACATGATCGTTATTGCCTTTGCGGTCGCCTTTTGTAATCCAACATACAACATTATTATTGTGTCAATTACAGAGCTATATAAACTCTATAACTAAATCACTGCTAGTTATATTTTTAACGATTTGTTTTATGCAAAACGAATTCAATGGTTGTTCGATCTGTGAGATAGAAGATGTAGCTCTCTTTCTAAGGCAGGGGGCGTGTGGCAATCGAGATCAATTCGCAGGCTCTAGTTAAATAATAAGCGGCGCAGCGCCCTATAACTATAATTTTCTTTTGTTTGACCGCCGCGCAAGCCGCGGGCTAAGGAGCGAAATCACCACGAAACTGGCTAACGAGATGCAGGGTAAAAAAGTGCACGCATACATTTGCACTAATTGTGTGAGTGTATTGATGAATTTGACTTTGGGATCTTTCGTTCCCACACGGTACAGTCGATGACTAAAATTTACTTTTCATTTCATTTTACTAGAAACAAAAATGTTACTTAGGTAACAAGGTAAGATAATACTAATAATATTAATAAAATAAAAATAATTACGTACGATAGTATTTCCTTCTAGAACTAATATTAAAGGAACAGATTTTAAAAAGATTTATCTTTATGTTTGTAATTGATAAATTAAAAAAAAGATTTTACCGAATTTAAATATGATCTTTCGCGTATATCTAATATAAAAACATAGGCTATCTTTTATTTCGTTTAAAAACATTACAGACTCTTACAATTAATTCATGGGTATAAATTAGAAATTAATGGTAATATCTAGTATCTATATTAATAGAGGCAATACAAATGTAAAATTTCAAAATAAAAACGACCATTGTATAATGTAGAAAGACTTGAAATTAAGTAAAACACATGTTTTTCTACTGATTACACTTATGAATATCTCAAAATATTATCACGTTAGTCATATGAATGAGTAGGCACAGGTTAGAGACAATGAATCATACGTACATTGAGTAAAAAATATTAACCAAACTGTGAGTAATACTAAACAACTAAAGAGGTGCCAATAGTAGTGGCATGTTTACTGTCTTTCAGTTTTTGGTGATTCCAAAAATAATATAAGATTATGTCAAGAAATATAAAACAAAAGACTACTAATACTAAAACATTAAATAATACCAACATAACAGTAAATAAAAAACAATTGTTTTTAATTGAGAATCTCCTTCTTGCATTTGCATCGCTACAAACATGAGTGAAACAAATAATATTTTTTTCATTATAATGCCTACATAGTAATTCATACATACTTAATAAAATTATTATAAAAGATAAAAAAAGCTACCGCTTCCAATGAAAAAATAATCATTAGAATTATTTTAGGGCATGCAATATTATTATGTGATATATAGATAAGAAAATATACAAGGGAATTGAAGACTACAATATCAAAAAATAAAAATGACATTAAAATTAATATTTTCATAATATATATTCACATTAATTATATTTGGATATTCATAGTTATTACACAAAGTAAATCTAATAAAATAAATATCTTCAGTAACAAAGAATATGCAATAGAGTTCGAAATAGCGAATTGAACTTGACACAATTTTAGGGCTCCGCCCATATAAGGGTCGATTGTAATTCGCGCAGTACAGGCGTAAGGCCGTAATTGTTCATACACCTATTACAGACGATCTAATTAAATTTGTAATTGAATAGAATCTAAATAGTCTACCGATATATACCGAGGAATGTACGTGCGTGTGTTCATTCTTCACATTGAAATAAAACAAGAAAAAACAACAATAGTGAAATACCGAGTGCCGATTAATCGAAAGTCATTGGTCCGCGTAGTGAAGTAACGATGTATTTGATATCGGAAGAATGTCCGTTTTGCTGCCGGCCAACTGTTAAATCATGCTGCATTAGTGATTCACATAGGTTCGCTGGACAATTAGCAAAGGCTGTCCACCTCTGAGCTTCGATGTATTTATTCATCGGATGTTCAACGATTACCATAATCGATAGCATCGCGCGTGCCGCATACGGAACAAGTGGCTCTCCGTTTTCATTGATGAGATGCATCGTCAAATACAATGGTAATTAAAAAAAAAACGATTTTCCTAAAAAATGGTAACTGCACAAAACTACAACCATTATGTATACCGTTATATGAGCAAGTATGTTAGTAAACAAAATATGACTGCACCACATCAAAATGACTATTAACATTCGTCTAACTGGCTAAATGCCAAAGTGTAGAGATTATGTTTATGTTAGTAACACAGGGAGTCAATGAATCCAATGAACTGTTTATTGCATTAAAAATAATGCATTAAGTCACTTTGGCTTAAAGTATTCAGAAAAGTGATTTGTTAATTCTACATTGTAGAGAAAACATTTTTTCTTTAATTATGAACAAGTTATATTATGATTATTATTATTATACAAGTTGTTGAAGCTCTTATTTATCTCTTAGAGTCAGTATCTCACATACTGACTCTAGCCGAGTCATTAGATTTCTCCATATATATATCAGAGTAAAATAGCATGAGGAACTATACGAATTTTTCGTGAGAAATTATATAGAACTGCCTATAAAAATCTATTAAAAACTTCTTGAATATTAACAAATATTTTTTATTTAGGATACGTCAACGTCTGCGCAGTCGCGTGTTTATTGCTTCTTGTGGGGAGTTGGTCACCGCGGTCGTCGGCGGCGCCGTTCAAGAGTCGCAGTATGGAACGACAGAAGCGTGCATCTGAAGAAGAAAATCCACTATGGGGGAACCCTTGCGTATACGGTTCAACCATTGTAAGTATTGGATATATTATTTCATATTTCATATTATGTATCATAAGGAGTTTCTGATGGAGGATTTTATTGATGTACACATATAATGTTATATTATCTGCAATTAATCTGGACCATATCTTATTTTTAAATACTGACTGGTTTATTACCGTGCTCTCATTAGATTCTACGATGAATAAGTCTTTCTTCTTCTTCATTATACAATTTATATTTACATAAATTATCGCATTTTTAATATTGCTACGAATATAGACCCAGAAAGTAAAAACGGTCTGCAAATCTCCATGAAAGGAGTTACAGATATTGTTCTTAGTTAGTACCTGATATATAGTATATATTGATAAATGAAAAATGTGGATGGATTGTTGTAAAAGATGATATTACGAGAAAAGGGATGAATGGAAGAGAAAAACATATTACACCGAACCCAAATGAATGAGATAAAGAAGAAGGAAATGATGTCCTATTAGTTAGCTTGAAAGTCGAAATATTTTATATTTAAAATTTTTATTCAGTTACTTGAATTTTTTTTACATGATTACTGATTGACAATAAATTATATTTTTCAACATCTCCAACACTTTTATTTTCTTTATTTCAGACAAAAACAGATTATGAGCCGAAATTCGCAGAGAATTTGGCCCGTCAGGCAAAATATGTGCTCGAAGAGACGGCGAAATATAAAGATGAATTTGTAAGTATTTACATTCATTTAATCGATTTTTTTTAAAGTTTATTCATAATTAAATTACAAATTTGCCGCTTTCATTGATCGATTCAATCATTGTCACAATCGAATAGTATTTGCACATCGATATGCCCGCCGCGTCACTCAAATGAACGGACGAGACTTGATATCAATACCAATAAAAGTAAACCTAACGCATACCTTAGTACGCATAACTAAAATTATACATACTCGTACACATATGGCTTTAATTATAATTCTATTAATATTATTTGCAAGTTTCTAAAGCTAGATGGATTTAATAAAAATATGGAATACAAATAATTATTATTAACATTTATATTGTTCGGTAGCAGTACCGATTAAACAATATCATACTTTTTATTTTATTTCACAAACTGAATACACTAGTTGGTTATTGTAAGTACTTATTAAAAATGCTAGTTTTAGTTACTGAAAAAAAAATATAATTACTACCTATCAGTATTAGCTTACCTTCGATTATTGCCTGCAAGAATTTATGTTAAAATATAGTAATACATGTTCGAATCTAGAATATTATCTTTATGTATGCCAAATTCTAAACAAATTTGTGTTTAGCTAGTACAGCGTAATTGAGTAAAATCTTTGCATACTTTTAGATTAAATATTAACAGACTGTTTCATATATTGCGTATCCTTATATTAAAATGGAGCATCTATTTGTAAATAGGTAGTTATTATTGAATGATGATGACATCAAGAACATGGCATTAAGTATGCAAGTATATTGTCACATTGCAATGAAAGGCATCTAATTATATTTCATATATACAAATTTAGAGTCATTATCGATTCCATCGGCTGCATCCATACGTTAGCGTCGTTTTCTCACCGCGTGGTCGTACGATTGTATCAGCGCAGGCGCCGCGTCTACTCCACACGTCCGGCTCCAAAGAGCCGCTTCCTCCCTTTTAATTATAATTTTGCAATGCAGTTTTACAAAGCTGTATTGGAAATGTGCATTGAAAACAAAATTAATATTTTTGTGTGCGATATTCATATATATAAACCGACATAGTTATGAACCCAGACAGTCAGGTAGCAACACGACGTGTCAACCTACATTTGAGAATTCGTAAAACATTCACGATTTATAAGAAACAATCGTATGGCGTATTAATACAGGAATCTATGCGACGATTCTATGTTTCCAATACTAAGAATATGATATTTCCGAATCGGAAGTAAGGTGGACCGATCAACCAGCAATAATGCTATGTCGATGTCGCGTCTCGAATCATTTATGGACGAGACCCTACCACCGTACTCGATAGTCACATCTTATATTCACGTGTAGCGTATCTATTTCGTGTGCAGTTGATAGCGCATACCAATTATCGGGTATCGCGTAGTCAATGGATACGGAACAATGCATGAGAATAATTCTCAATGCGTCCAGATATCGAACATGGTGTTCGCGTATGAGGTATGGTGGCATTGTAATAGTCGTCGGTCGTAACGACGGCGACGTCCTGTCCGCTCACCATCGCCTCGTAAAACGACATTATCGACTTACAGTAGCCGGAACGAGGTACAGGACGGTGTGGGTACGCATCGAATATTGATTGCGCATTAGTATTGCGCGACACACCTGCCCGACGATTTTTTTCTTCTGTCTCTCCCCTTAATGTCGGTCATTCGATCCTAATGTATCATATTTATTGCGATTTAGATAGAACTATGAGTCGATGAACCGTTGTTATTATAGTCAAGGACGTTACTCCTTTGTCTGAATTATTACCTTGTGTCTGCATCTAGTTTGCACCGCATTCACTAAAATGATTTACATAGTCAGGTTAGATCAAGATAAACACGCAGCAGGAAAAGACAGTGGACATATCATAACATAAATAAAAATACAATATCCGAATTAGTTGGGTTGTCGCATAATATGTCGTCAGGCCATTTCATGTATAATAACTGGACGCGTTACTAAGAACGCAATAATAAATTCAACGAACTCTACCGGTATGTGTGACTTGCCACCGGGCACCGTGTGAATGTCTCTCAACACTCGTACTTTTAGTACACCGGTATCGTATGCCATCGCATTTATAATCACGAAATATTTATTTTACTTTAGAAAAATGTTAAAATGCATTCTAATAACTATCACAATGTAATCTGTTCAAAGGCATCCGTATTTATCGCTACGCATGTATGACGCGTCACTTCGCACACTCGTATCTCTTATCTTTCCTATACTGACGTTATAAACGTTGAATTACACATAGTATATGCGATATGTACATACTTAGTACGATATCGATGTTCAACGGCGACAGGCTGTCTGCGCCGTTGGGTGCGAACGTGTGCCGTAAATATACCATTTGCTGCGTATGTATGTGTGCGTGTTTATTTGATAAGCTTCCGATGCGAGCTAGACATTTGGATAATATGTCATCAAATTCCTTAACGTATAGCCCACCCATACTCGAGTTGACGAGTCAAATCCATGCCACTGTACTATATAGATACAATTTTCATAATCAGCATATATGATACAATTTTCCATTGAGGATAGAAAGCTAGACATAGATTTTGAGAGCAAAAGAATATTTTTTACTTTTAGAAAAATTTATTTATATAATGTACCTATAGTTTATAATATTTCAAAAAGGGTAATTTTATATTATATAGTTACTTACATAATTACGAATTTGCGATTACTAGTTATTGCCATTGATGATGTTTGTACGAATATTATTGATTTTATTGAATAAAAACGGTTACACAATCTTGTCTCAGATATTTCACAATAAGTTTATTTATATAAATATCAATATATTTACAAAGATAAAATAGATTATATAGTATATTGTAAACCAGTAGGACAATTAGTCTACAGGGCATTGTATCAATCTAATACTATTTTTTAAATGTAGACAAATATTACATATATAAATTATATGTTAGTAGCAAAATAGACAGCTCTAATTCTAGGAAATCAGACTGTTTACACAAGGTACTCGCTATTATTAGGTGTAGGTTTCGGATATGGCGATGGACCGGACGCGCACCTGTGCCACGGCTACAACAGCGCATTCCATCTCATAATTATTATGATCATCAAAACATAATTCGTCATTAATAACTAACAATGTACTCTTGAATGTAGAGAGTAGGATTTATATGTATTATTTGAATCATTGTTCATGTAAGCTTAAAATGGGCTATCAAAAGCGTAGTAGATGGAATTTTATTTAAAGAGAGTGGTGGTAATAGCATTTCCTTTTCAGTTATTTTATGGAATAAATATATATATATAATTATTAAAACTTTACTTTTCAAGTAGAGGCTTCGTATGCGTATTTTGCTAACGACATAACGAAAAGCTATGAATATTTCAGTATAAGGAAGTATTTATTATTACTGTACAATTTTTTTTATACATCTAATATATTTTATTATCTATCCTACCAATTTAACTAAATGGGGTTTTATTACTGTTTCATCATAGACCAAAATAACTATCTACAGTTTATCGATATATTGGCAATCATAAACACATCCCTTTATCACATTATTTGTACAAAGGATGTCACAACCTGAATCGATTTAATTAATCGGTCTTGAAATATTGTTAACCACACAAAGATCGATTGTGAAAAATATTGCACAACACGAATTTTCGGTACTTTATCGCTATTTGGGAAGCACGTTTTAATTAGTTGTATTGTTGTATAACAATTTATAAGGGATACCCAATAACTTAGAGTTGCATCTGCCACGTTCGTTTGGACATCAATTATTTTTGAACTTTATGTTCTAGTGTTAAAGATTATTTTTGTATAGTCTATATTAAGTAGTGTCAATTTTTAATTGAGAACGATTCGCTTTCGTGACGTATAGTCGGCAACTGAACTCCAATGGCAGTGGTCTCATCTTTCATACAACCTTGGCTTTGCCATCAAAATTGTTCAATACACGCGCAGGTGTTGCTAAATGTATTGATTTTGTTTTAAAATTGACTTATTGACTTATTTTTTTGCATTATGTCTCTACTATAATTATAAAAATTACCCACTATAGAATAGTCATAAGAATTTACTGTAGTTATAAGTGTATTATAAGCATAATTTTATTAAATAATTACATATTAGACTATCTAGGTTATCTCAGTAAACAGGAAATTTAGTTATTATATTTTGAATTGCTATGAAAAACAATGTGGTCAATACACGTGATCTTCTAATTGAGAGGTGGAAGTTTAATGGACTGATTGCATTCATAACATCCAGAATAAGATGAACTCTACCGTGCTATTATATCTCAGTACTAATAGATCACAAATGCTGGTAGCGTCTTCCACCTTTGTAACATGCCATTTCGCGGAACGATTGCATCTGTCGTGTTTTAATTCAATTTGCTTATATTCTGATACAGTTAGAATGGTTGCAACTCACTTTGTAGATATAATGTTGTTATAATTCAAAAGAATGCAATTGACCGTGAAAATAAAATTTATTTATTTAGTTTAACTGTAGTCGAAATTACTATAGCTTTGTATACAAATCACATGGGAAAATTACGTCAATTATTTCGCATATCAAACTTAATCATTTAAAAATAAAATAGAATAGTACATATTTACCTCAACTCTTGGAAAAAGCCGTGGGGAAACCCAAAACAGTGTTGTGAATTTCAGTAATTATTAATACATTATATACTCCATATTAGATAGATAACATAGGAGAGACAACTGTTGCCAATATCAGTGTGTCCACTGCCATAGAGATAATGTTCTGTACCTTTTATATACTCGTCCGTGCATTCAGGAAATTATAAGAGTCCATTTTCCGTCGACTGTTTTCTATGGAAGTCAATCAACACAGTGTTAGGTTGTCAGGATTACGTTCTATTTTCATCATTCAGAGAAATCAACGGTAAAGGGTTGTGTGATTCATCATGCTTGTACAGTTAGATTGTTATGTCTTATCTTTTCTCAACTATTTATTTATTATTAATTCAATTTTTTTTATTACAATTGTTCGTTGCAATGTAATAATTTAGGTATTACATTACTAAGGAAGTCATTCACTTCAAATAGATAAATATATATAATATGTATTTGGGAGACGCGCTAATTATCAAAAACCTGCGAAATTTAAGTCTGGTTTTGTTTTACTTTGTCACATCCGTTTATAATTATCTACTCAGAATAATCACACCAATTATCTGCAGGATGCGTTTATATTAAATTCGATTTTATACAACGATTAAATAGTAATATTATAGTTATTATATATAAGTGATTAAAAAAATCTCTGTATTTGAATTTTCTGATACAAATATAGGGATATATATTAAATAAAGATAATAATTCATGACTATTTGCTACTATGTACTATAATACTTTTGATAGTTGCAATCTTTCTTGCAACTAAAACTTACTTTATAATTTACTACTTACTGTATTTTATTGGATAAAGTGGAATGAAGCTCTTCCTTAAACTAACTATATATCCTATACGTATAGTATTTTACTTACTTGCTATTAAAATTTATAATTGTAAATTAAATTAGAAATATTTTTTATTGTTACAGGCCAAGCTGTATAGTTATGAAAACTTCGATTTACTTTATAATCAATGGAATAACGATAATGATGACTGGCTTCGGGAGTTCCCTTGGCATCTTGACGACGTTATGCCCAAAAACAAGATCCTGTACAAGTCTCTAGAAGAGGATGATTTGGATGATTTGATGGTAAGGTTTTTTCAAATATTAATATTAATGAGTTGAAAGATTTCAAAGTGTGGAATTCAAGTTCAAATTCAATAAACACGCAATTCTCATTATTATAAGTTTTTAAATGTTAAATCAGATCTTAATTATGTAGGTGTGAGTCTATTTACAGACATTTATGATAAGTCAAATCTGTTGTCCCAGAATATTTCCCAAGAGCTTTGCTACTCCTATTCTTCACAAGAAATTTCCAAATAATTTGCAAATTCATATAAAAAAATGAATGAATTATATATTAATAAATATGTATTAAAGAACTGCGAAAATGTCGCTAAATATATGTATATATATATAAAATGGGACGCCCTCCGTAATGTAATTAATTGAAATGTAGTAAGCCAACCAGCACCAGCTTTTGACCACTCTATCAGAGGAAATTTTTAATAATATTGGTATTTCCACTTTAATTAGTATAATGGATTTTTAATTATCTATTTATACATCTGTTCAGTAAGTACCAATTCCTGGGCAAGACGAAAACCATTTAACAAGCATGAACAAAAACATATTGAAAGTTCCCAATATATACACATTAGTAAGGATGCCACTTTGTTTAATTATATCTTGAGAATGTCGAACTGATCGTTGTTTCCTAAACGAGAACAATAAGCGAGGGGCGGCGAATTCGCTGATTGTCAAAAACGTGCATCCGTATGTGTTTTTCAATCGATTTCAAGGAATCGACTCCGTCGGTGGTTTTCATTGTTGTAGCCGACTATCGCTTACGTGAGAACACAATTGTTTTGCAATGTATGATTTTTAATCTGACATGTAATCGGCTAATATCGGATAAGAAAAATCAAATTGGTGAAATTATAATTTAATTGTGAACTCTAATTTAATGGTGTCCAGAATGACATTAAATACCACTAATTAGTACCACCAATATTTCGTGATGGCCACAATAATATTAATTTATAGGCAATAGTTATTAGTAGGAAGGCAATCAAATTGCTTGCTGTTACAGTTTCTATTTTTTGACATTTTCAAATGAGACTGAAACCGAAATCGCATAAAAACATGTCAAATTATATATATAATTCACAAACTTGTTTGAAATATTAATAGAAATAAATAAAAAACATATAAATCATAAATAACTATGATACGTAAAGGATATGCATATTTTATAGACAAATATTGTAATTACACAATGTAATTTCGTTTTAATCCTGTTCTTTTATATAACTTATATATAATATAGACATTAAAAAGAGTAGATTTGAATAACATAGTATTATTGATACTATATCTATAGGGATAGGTTACAGATTTCATTAGCTGGGGCAACAGCGTGTTCATCATTACAAACATTAACGTTAGAAACTAAGTAGAAGTATACTTATATTTTTACTGTATTTTTTTAATTAAATGAATTTTATATTTTTCTGTATTATATATAAGCTGTATTTTATAAGTTCTTTCTTTCATTGTTTACAGAAACACATAGACGATGTGCTGCCGTATATGTACAAAAGTCTGAAGATGATTGTCGCCTCGTTTCAAATGTTCGCAGAGAACCTCATTAATGACAATATCGTTCCGGACGCAAATCTCGCTAAAAACATCAAGGACACTATACCCAAGCTGAGCAAAGTGCTATGTCTCTTTTTTGTAAGTATCTAATTATATTTTTAATCTGTAAAAAATCAAAATATAATATTTATACCTCTTCTCTTATGTATCGTTATCCTGCTGTTATCCAAATATCGCGGCCATTCGTGAAATAAAATAAAAATTACTCAGGATATAATTAACGATTTCCAATAAAAGACTGTCTTCAGTAGTGATAGTTTTGAACAAAACAATAAAGGGTCCTCCAGTAAGGGTTAAATGGTTTAACGAATAAAGGGGTTTATCAACTTATTGTCTCAATACTAAATAGTGAAAGTATCATGTGATATGATACATTTCTCTCTGAATCTTAATTTTACAGTTGTGTTATAACAACTTTTTTTATAATACTGCTTTATATTATATATATGGGTATAACATTAATATCAATATAAATAGCAAAATAATTAATAAAATGTTTTCTTTCATTTCAGGATGTAATCGCATCACGGGACCTTAAAATGCTGCCGCTACTTGACAGTGAAATCCCGCCAATCAATGATTCCAATCTGTTGAAAAAGGCGTACCCCATTTATCGGGACACCCTCAACTATCTGGAGTACCTGATCCTGGTTTTCCAAAAGATGTCCAAGACTGACCTGACCCAATCAGCTTAAAGAAAACAAAACTTTGGTTGTGTTACTTTTGTTAAGACCGCAAATATTTGAGGAACGAATGTTTTTAAACAATAATGCTACATACAAAAGTGAATACATAAATTTGTAGAGTAAACACGCACTTAATTACTTCATTGAATGTTAATTATGTTTTTCTGAATGATTTATGATCTGTGTTTTCTATAACACTGGTGCCTAAATTGTATTAGATAATATTTTATGTGTTGCCATATTGAGCCAATTGTTCAATTAACTTATTATTCTCGTTGATTTATTAAATATTACTCTGTAATTACAATAATATGATGTAACAAGTAATACGACAATAAGAATCAAAACAAATCTGATGGCATTCTGTTGTTCCTCATTCATTGTCAGCTTGTTGTAACAAGCTGTTATAGCATTTGGCTGTTTAATTAACGTTATACAAAAACGTCATTGCCATTACATTGCCATTTTGGTCTAGAACGGAATAGTTCCTTTTATTTTATGTAAATAGTGACGAATTTAAAAACGGTATTAATTTATTGTCATTCTATTAACATTCTAAATTTCCCGATTATCCTAGTCAAGGTCGTAACTTATTTATTTCTCGCTTAATTCACCTAGTTTGAATTTCTTTATTATTGATATTATTTAATTTAGATTTTGGTATTAGAGACCATTCCACCAGATAATGATTGAGATTGTCGTTGTTAGTAAATTGTTGAGTTTTCGTGTATGCGTCAGTGTATGAATCATGATGGTTGTAATTTTGTATGATAGATCACTCATGTGAGTATCCCGTACGCTCGATACGTTTCGGCGAACGCTTAATTGTACATTTTATTCCTAACTTAATTAGTATTACTTGACATTTTGTTAACTATTTATATTACTGTTAAATCCAATGAAATAGAATAGCTTTAATAGAGCTGTTAATTATTGTAAAATACAGAGCCAGTGTATTTATTCCTTAATCATTATTTGTATAGTTCAAATAATACTTATTTATAACTTGACAAACATGATTTCAATGTTTGTGAAATTAAATTATTATTACATTTTGTTGTTGTTTTTATTGTTATCATAATTATTCATTTGATGAAACTTTTCCTCAAATTTAAGTTTAGTTAGTTTCTAAGGTCTACTTACCAGGATGAAATGTTCTTCCAACGTGCCAACATAGTCAATATGTCAGCAGTAATGAGTTTCATCTCAAAATAGCTAGGCAGAGAAATTAAAATAATAAGTAGGTATATCCAGAAATAAGAACTAAATAGGTTGTAAAGTTAAGCACTCTGTTTTCAGTCTGTTTTGGAAACAACAAGTATTGATAAATTTAAGTTTATAAAAATCAATTTCCCTATAAAGAAAAGAAAATTGGATTCATATGCATTACTTGAAAATATTTATATTGCATAAATAAATAGTAGGTATTCAAATTTGTAATAAACATTTCTTGTATGTACAAAATACTTATACTGTGCAATTAGAGACCCCTTTTAAAGTTGTTCACTAATATTATTATATTAGTATATCACTTCTATAGCTGATCACTACCATTTAGGAACAATAAATAACATAGAATTCTGCTCTAAGTAAGTATGTAATAGTGTGTTCAGTCATTAATAGATTTTTATTATAATTTTAGTACCAATCTACAATAATAACTAAAAACTAATTTATTATACCAGCAAAAATCTTAGAATAAAAACTACAATAAATATTTTAGGACAATTCACACATCGCCATCTAGATCCAAGTTAAGCTAGCTAAAGCTTATGTTATGGGTACTAGATAACTGCTACGATACTGATATAATACATTTTTTTTTTCATAAATATATAAATATTATACATAGAAAACACCCAGACTGACAACTATACTCATGAATATAAATGTTTGTGCAGTACGAGGAATCGAACCCGCGACCATTGGAGGTAAAGTGGTGTGCTAAACCGCTACACCACCGACGACCATACTACAAAAAACATTTGAATTGATAAAATAGGAACTGAAGGATTATCATTGCATTGCCTTTATTCCATTAATTAATGTATATTGCTAATTTTTATGTGATTGGCGTAGCAAACAACTAGATGGCCTACCTGATGATAAGCCCACTATGAACATCACGCTATCATGATCACATAGCTTATGATACTACTCATTCGTTGTCATTCTGGAGGACTAAGATATGTTGCTTTTCATGTAATTTCACTGCCTCTCACCTTTCAAACAAAACACAATTTACAAAATAAGCGGTGTCTTACAATTTTATATTAAGATGCCATAGCTACAATTTGCTACACCTAAGAATTAAAAAAAAACCTAGTATTAGTCGATATTCATTATTTTCTATGAACAGGTAGCCAGAGTGGTTACCAAAATAAATATATAAAGAGTTATAATAATAATAATAATATATTTTTTCTTTTTACTAGTTTTAAACAAAAGATTTATTAAAATCGTTTAACTATTTATCCATTACACTCAAAAAACTTCTGGTCATTTTTTTTATTTTATTAATTTAGATATTAATTATATTAATTTCTCGATTTAAAATAATCGCAGCCATTATATCTTACCGTATTCCTGATCGAGGTGTACAATTGCGTACATGTCAGGAAGATATGTTGTAGAGAGTGTTTATGACTCACAGCTCATTACGATTCGTCGCCGTGAGAATAGCAAGCTCAACATCCGTCGTTCGGGAATTTCCTCTCCTTCCGGAGCAAACTTGACACAAATTGCACACTAAATGGTCACGGCATATTCAAACAGTTATAGTTTTGACAGGTGATTTCATTTCACCTAGTTACGTGTAGATAATGCTACACAATATTAGTATTAATCCGCCTTGCTTTTATATATAGTAGTCCACTGAATCACGTTCTATATTTATATAACAGTGGAGGCTTCGTTTATATTAAGAACAATATTCAGTCTATAATTTCTTTCATTTAAATTTCTAGGTAATAAATAAGCTTCAAAGTTTCATATAACAGCTGATGCTGCGCTCCGTAATTTTTCCCTTTTCATATCTGTATATAAAAACATAATATAATATATATTATGTATATAATATATGTGTTATGTTTATTATATATATATATTACATAATATATAAACATATTATGTTAAAATATATTAATATTTTTTAATATTTAAAATCAAAACTGACACAATTTTTTTGGGAATGGCCGTTTTAAGTTGAATATATGTATAATTATATCTTTATTCTTTGGGTTTCTAATCTAATAATTTTCTATGTAACAATTTTGATTTAAATTTTATATTACAACTGACCCGAGAAACTTGGCCAGCAATAAATATTCCGCTATTTGGAAACCTTTTTCATTAATGGTCTTGTCAGTCTTAGCAAGATGTTATATATCTATTTGCTTGGTGACTGAAAGAGAATTGAGACTGAGGTGAGGATACCCGGTTGTTTTTTTACAGTATACATTTGGTAAACTCTTTACATTTTTATTATTAACTAGCTGTACACGCGACTTCGTTCGCGTGGAATTAAGCTTTATTTTCCTAAAATAAAAGTTTTTTTCTAAAATAAAGGTAGCCTAAGTTACTCCTTATTACATCAGCTATCTGCAGTGAAAATCAGTCCAGCCGCTTTAGAGATTAGCCGGAACAAACATACACACAGACAGATATGAAAAAATGATATTTTGGTTAATGTACTTATATTCAAATGCATGTAACAAAAAATGGTTATTTCAATATTACAAACAGACACTCCAATTTTATTTAGATATACATATGTATAGATGTATAGATAACCCTAACGATGAAAATATTGGAGCTATACATATAATCGAGCTGCAACTATTATAATGTACGATAGGTTTAATTTAGGCATAGGCATACAGTAAACTTAATAGAAATTTTCAATCATTCTTCTTCCACAATAAATTCCTCAATATTCAACACAGAGAAGTAAATATTTGTTTTCAGATCTATGGTTTTGAACAGAATTCGAGTTTCGATTCAGAGTAGCATTGGCGAGAAATTATATATGGAAAATTAGACAATATTTCAGTTCGAATACATGATTTACTAGTCAGACTCCTGGTCTAAGAGAAAATATTATTTGGGATAGAGCAGACATGGGCTGCCCTTTATCTCTAATCAATTTAGTTATTCCTATCATGAGCAAGTGGTCATTAGTATTTTTGATGATTTGCCATGTTAATAATTCAGAAAGTAGGCAATACTATTTAATTCATTTAGTCGTTTGTTCGTATATGTCGAGTGAATTGAGTCTGTTACGCCAATTTACCGATCATAAGTACCTAATCCTACTTTGTCAGAGGTTGTCATTTAATGTTTTGTTATTTTATAATAACATTATGTTTTTATTTATATATTCTATTGTCTTATATAATCTGAATAAAATGTAATTCCAAAAAAAAAGAAACATCTACACTCCTATATTTTTTTATATATCCAATTATTTTTTTATTAAATTTCTATTCATACAGTATATGTAAATTGTCACTTAAGTATTGAAACTTGATTTAAATTGTTGTTGTTGATGTTAAATCGTTGGCAATTTCAACCTTACACAATACTCACTAGATTTAGTTTAATATGTATTTTTTTGCACAAATTATAAGCGTGATTATCTGTTCCAATGAAAATATTAACAATAACCGTGAAAAATCCACTGTGAAAAACATACCGTAGTTTGGTGACACCTGAAGAAAGGCATGCGGGCACTTCCTGTCACAATTTCGTGACCGCCGTCGATATGCTTGAGATAAGTGGGCTTAAGTCTATATGCGAAGCAATGGCACTTACGTCCTTTTATGTTTACTAGACGCGAGGTCAAGTCTGGTGCGAACGGAACGTGTGTGACCTTTAACGTAAAGATAATTGCTTACAATCACTGGTTACTAAATCCCGTCTGAGACTAATTTAAATTGGACTATCTGATGATATTAAGTTTCAGTCTAAATTTTGATGTCCCAATGGATTCAATTTGTGTTTTTGGAATTACACGTCATCTTTTACATTGATTTTCAGAATGTTGAATATTCGGAGTCATAAAAATAATCTAAATAATTTATTAGTACGTATTTTTTTATAATGGATGATAATAGAATAGTGCACCCACGTGCACTAATGGTATATGTTGGCGGGTGAATGTTGATAGTGTGACCACCAGTGAATGATGATAAGATGAGTATGAGGTCAAGCCAGTTCGTTGTTGTTCGTCAAATTCACCAGGAATTTAACATCATGGTTTCAAGGGGAAACCACGTGGAGGTCAATCTGATGTATTACATCACTGCCAATTTTCTTTTCCCTACTCTTATTACTGCATTGGTACGTATCGTTTAAGGTAATTGAAGATGAAGGCGGTTCTGCTATTATATAAAAAAGAAATATCCACATAAGATTTCAAATTGGAATTGGAATACAAATTCAAAAATAATTTATTCAGTTTAGCCGCTTATGAACGTCAAATTTTTATATTACAATTTTTGCCCTAACCTCCAGTTCAGTATATAGATCCACTTGAGAAGAACTGGAAAGAAACTCAATTGAATGACTTTTTTTTAAAGACAGTTTATTTACAATGTATATTTATATAGGTGTCTATGTTTAATATAAAATGAAAATCCCGTGCATGAACAACTATTGCCATGCACGCTAGTCATTCAAGTAATCGTTTACGTAAAGAATTTAGATTGAGCTAATATTAATAACTGTCGCTTATATGCAAATATATTTTTACTTATCTAATTTAAATGTATATTTTATGTAGGTAGTAATATTTAAACAGTTAATAAGTTTCAAGGAATGCTACTTTACAGAATGTAAAATAAATGAAGATAATATAAAGTTGTTAAGTAACCACAGACAAACTCAGTGTTTGTATTGAAAATATTTTAGGAAGTAAATAACTAGGAGGTTTTATATGATTAGAATGACAAACATAATGACCCATCTGTGTGGGATTGCGTATAGGGCGCTGGGGTCGGTGCAGC